CTTGCTTCCTGCCTGAAGTAATTCCCTTACAAATAAAGCTCTCCTTTAAATTCACTAACTCTGTGATTCTTTTTCAGCTGACAAGGTCATGTTCACTCCTGGGCGGAGACTAGAGGGAGGCGAATGAGGTGCCAAGGGCACAGAATTTAAGGAAACATCACTTTCAGGGTCATGCAAGTGCCCTGGTCCCAGACCTGGCCCACTCACCTCCACTGAAAAAAATGTTAGCAGTGCCTACTCTGATGGAGCTCTCAACATAACAGAGGAGACCAGCCTTAACCAAACAGTCATGTAAGCAAATACACACTCAGCCCCTCTGGCAGGTGCTAAGAAGGCAGGATCCGTCCTGGTCAGGGAGGCAGGGGAGCCTCTCTGAGGAAGGCAAAGGGACATTAACAGGGCTACAGGGAAGAACACTCCAGCCCTCACAGAAGCTCTGCATGGGAGCGAACGTGGTGGGGAGGAAAAATCATTCCGGATGCATAATTAAGAGCAAAGTATGGGGAGAGGGACAACGTGTGTGGACCTGTGGAGAGGCTGTTGCAGTTGTTCAAGTGAAGGGCGATCATACCTAGGAGAGTGCTGGCGATGGGGAGAAAACCAACATGACACCCTCATGGGCCCACCCAGGGATGGGAGCAGGTATGAGGCTGCATGAGACTTGGGTAGAGGTGGCAGCAGGCGCTGGGGCAGGAACACCAAAGAGGATTCAGGGAGGGCAAGTTCTCAAAACCACACTAAATGACACCATGGCTCAAGGACTCCAGTGACTTTCTAACATACCTGACAAACAGGGCCAGGACCAGTGAAGAGATAGAAGGGGCACCAAAAACTCAGCTCTTAGATGATATTTTAGCTCAATGTTGTAAAAATCAAAATTAATGCAAGAAGTCCATGAGGAACACAATCTCAAAATCTCAAAGGCAGGACGGGTGGAGAAAAAATAGGGGCGGATCCCAGTTATGTGAGCTTTAAAACTTATAAAATGGTGGGAAGGAGTGTTTAAGAAAAAACAAAATTTCAAGTACAAGATTGGTGAATAAATTTTTATTTGAAATGAGAAAATAACAAAGTACAAGCTTTAAAAAACTGATATACCACAAATATCACAAAATCCAGAAAACAATTTTAAGTAATTGCTAAAATGACTCTATAATACATTTTCTCTTGTAATTTTGTAAGAAAATTTGGAAAAACCCGTCAAGTTTCTTTAATATATTAGCTATAAAAGATGTATTTGTAGGTTTCTTGCAGGTTTGTCAGGGGCTAGAGGGAAGGAGGGATGAACAGGCAGAGCACGAGGGGTTGTCAGGGCAGCAGAGCTCCTCTGCTTGGTACTGTAGTGGCACACGCGTGGCATCGTACAGTTATGTAAACCCATGGAGTGGACAACCCCAGTGCTGGACTCTAATGTAAACTATGGACTTTAATTAATAATGTATCAATACTGGTGCATCAATTGTAACAAACAAACAGCACTAATGCTAATGCAAGGTGTTAGTGGTAGAAGACACTGTGTGTTTGGGGTGGGGGGAAGGAATATGTGGGGACTCTGTACCTTCCACTCAATTTTTCTGTAAACCTAAATCTACTAAAAAAAACAAAGCCTATTAATTATTTTTAAAATGAAATAAAATAAATTTTAAAGACAAACATCAAACACAGATATAACATCTAACTTTGCAGAGAACCAAACAAGGCCAGCTGGAACAGCAACTTCTCTGAGCTAGATGAGAAGATTGATTCATTTGCCATCTTTACTTCTGTATTTTTTTATATCCAGTTTAAAAACCTTGACTTTGGAACGGGGGATATTCTAAAACCTAAGTTCTTTATAGGCATTTATTGCTAAAGTATGCTCCAAAAAGCCAAATATGGATTGAGAATGGAACCTTGTAGTGTTCCAGGAGGTTCTGGGCAGAGGAGAGTCCAATAGATATGAAAAAATGTGGCCATGGGCTACGTTGTATAGCTTCAGACCACCAGAGAGGCAGCTCCTGCTACAGCCCCTGGCCCAGGCCCAGAAGTCAAGTTCCTTCATCTGGAGGAGAAGCGTGACCACCTAGTTCTTGGGAACCAGGAAGTGCCCACTTTCTGGGTCAGATACCTACATGCTGGTGTGAACAGAGATGAAGAGGATTGTTCAGGGTCTGGGGAGGGTGTGACAGCCTGAAGGCAAAGCCCTCCTGTCACTAGAGGAGTATCAGGGGACCGGTCACTTAGGGGGCTGGGTGGGGCCAGGAGAGGCAGAGATGCAGGGAGAGTCTAGTCACAGGAGATGGCTCCCCGTCACCATCCACAGAGGTACCCGACACCAGCTCTGGGGGAGGAAACTGCACACAGTCAGGAAGGAGTACACTACACACTCACTCATTGAACACATATTGCTATGGGCCAGGCTTGGTGCCAGTGCTGGGGAGACAGAGGTGAACAAGCCAGAGTTCCAGTAACTGTGGAGCTTCACTTCCAGTGGGCTCAGATCATGTGCAAAGAACCACCCAAGTGTGTAAAATAACTTCCCATGGTGATAACTACCATGAAGGAACTAAAGCAAGGGAAGGGGACAGGGAGGACATGCTGAGGGGAGGTGCCATATTGGACCAGTGGTCAGGGGAGGCCCGCGGGCTGGAAAGGGAACGTTGACTGAGTGCCTTCTAGAGACTCCAATCTCGCCAGAATAGCACCTGGTCTTCCCTGTGGAGTACACTGGACCCATAAAGTCCAGGCTCAGCTGTCTCCCAGTATCCTTGTCTTCATGGGGACAAAGGCTTTGGTCTGTAGATGAAATGGGCCTCCGCATCTTTCTTCTTAGATTGTGCCATTCTAATTGCTTTCCTAAAAACAGCTAATCTTGCTGCCCAGCTTAACCCATTTCAAAAATCCTAAGCAAAACAAAGCTGGAGGCATCACATCACCGGACCTCATACTGCATACTACAAGGCTGTAGTAACCAAAACAGCATGATACTTGCATAAAAATAGATACACAGATCAATGGAATGGGAAAGGTAGGGGGTAGTCTATACTAGCTCACATTTGGATAACAAAACAAATCTTGAATGAGTACACTCTATTTTATATACTGTTTTTATTTATTAACTAATTTCTTTAATTTGAGAGAAACTAATTTTATATGGTTAAAATATTAATTATGAAATAGTTTACAATGAAAGGTAAATCTACTTCCAAGTCAGTCCTCCTCGCAAAAGGAAGCTAGATGTATTCCATGTATCTTTCCAGAAATTATGTCAGTAAGTATTTATTGAGTGATTGAATAAGCAATATTTTAATTGAATGTTTATTCTGTGCCAAGCATCTTTCTAGGTGCGGTGGATAAGGAGTAAACAAAAACTATGTCGCTGACCTCACAGAGTTGACACTCTAGTGGGAGCAGGCAGATAATATATACACAAATTAATACATACATACTATGTCTAAAAGTTATCAGTGATATTTAAAAAAAGATCAAAGGGACAGAAGTAACAGACAAGGGAGTTGCTGTTTTATACAAAGAAAGCTCTGAGAAGATGACATTTCACCAGATATTGTATTCAAAGGGAAGGAGGAAACGTGGGTATTGGGGTAAGTGCCGACCAGCCAGAAAGAACAGCCGGCACAAAGGCCTTAAGAGGGAGTCTGTACAGGATTCAAGAAACTGCCAGGCCAGGTACAGTGGCTCACACCTGTAATCCCAGCACTTTGGAAGGCCGGGATGGGAGGATCACTTGAGGCCAGGAGTTTGAGACTAGCCTGGGCACCACAGCGAGACCCCATCTCTATTTTTAAAAATATACATATATTTCTAAAAGAAAAAAAAAGAATTACAGCTGACTACTTTGTTAGAAACCATGCAAGCAAAAATGAGTGGAGTGAAATACTTAAAGTATTGAAAAAAGAACCGCACCAACCTAGAATTATATATGTGGCAAAATTATTCTTCAAAAGAGAGGAGAAATTAAAAGGAAAAAAAAAAACTGCCAAGAGCCCAGTGTGGCTGGCGTGTAAGGCCAGAGTGCTAACAAGGAACAAGATCACGTAAGGCTTGGGAGACAAATGAAAGATTTGGGTTTTATTCTGAGAGAATCAGGGGGTGCAGGGGAGGCTTTGGGGGTCTTCAGAGAGGAGTGATATGACCCAACTTACCTTTTTTAAAGGATCCCTTAAATTGCTATGTTGAGAATAGACTGGCAGTGAGGGTGGGAAAAGGTAGAAACAGAGATGAGTTCAGTGTCAGACGATGGCATTTTGGACCAGGTGGTTAGCATAAGTTGTGACAAATGGTCATATTCTGGAATATTCTCAAGGTAGCCCCGCAGAATTTTTAGGCACATTGAATGCAGACTTTGAGAGAAAAGAAGTTGAGCAGCATGACTGGATAACTGGAAGGATGATGGACTTGCCGTCAACTGAGATGCAGAAAACTGCTGCTGAAGCAGTTACTGAGAAGAAGATTATGAATCAGTGTTGGACACTTTAAGTTTAGAGTATCTATCAGACATCTAAGATGGGAGACATCGAGCCACACGTTTGCTGCGGAGATGGGTTTATTAGGGCAGGAGAAGATGCCGATGCAGAAGAGAGAGGAGGAAGGAGGGGAAAGGATCTAGTGCACACGTGGGGACATTTTCAGAGGGGATAAAGGTCGTTTATCTAGATACAACCTGGAAGGCAGGTACGTGGGCACAGGCACAGGTAGGTGGACAGATAGGTTGACAGGAGCTAGTGCAGAGTATATATCCCTGCCTGGCTTCCTCTACAGATTGCAAACTCTTTAAGGCTGGGGGTGGAGGACAGTGTTCAGGGGCTTTTAGCAAAGAGCGGTGTCCTGCTATTACGGAAGCAGCCGCTCTCCGTCAGCCCCCTCCCGTCCCTGCGCCCCCTCCCAGCGAATCCCTCCGCAGCGCCCTCGTCCCGCGCTCCACCGGACCCTTTAAACCCCGTCAGCTGTGGGCGCCGCCTGCCATCGCGCTGCCCCGCACGGCACCACAGGCGCACTAGCCCATGACGTCACGAGGCCGCGGCCCAATCAGAGGCGGCGTTTGGGAAATTTTCAACTCAAAGGCGGGGCGGCCCTGGCGCCTGGAAGCGCCGGCGGCGGAGGGTCTCGGCCGTTTTCCCCGGGCCCGGCCTGAGAGGATGGCGGAGGAAGGGGCCGTGGCGGTCTGCGTGCGAGTCCGGCCGCTCAGCAGCAGGTAGGTGGGCCAGACCGCGGCCGGGTACGCTCGGCTGCCGGCGGCCTGGCCCATAACGTCACGAGGCCGCGGCTCAGTCAGAAGCGGCGTTTGGGAAATTTTAAACTCAAAGGCGGGGCGGCCCTGGCGCCTGGAAGCGCCGGCGGCGGAGGGTCTCGGCCGTTTTCCCGGGGCCCGGCCTGAGAGGATGGCGGAGGAAGGGGCCGTGGCGGTCTGCGTGCGAGTCCGGCCGCTCGGCGGGAGGAGGTGGTGCGCACGGTGCCGGCGGCGCGGGCCCGAGCGGGAGGGACGAGTCCTGGGCCTTTCCCCGAGCCGCTTCCCCGCCGCGCTGCCTCTAGACTCGGCGCTCACCCGCTGTGGGCCGGCGTTTCCTTGTCTGTACGTGGCAGCGGAGGATCCGAGATCTGGAAGATACTCTCCAGCTGCGAGGTTCACTTACATCCCATGCAGGCTTCCTGACGTTGGAGCCCTTCTCCCTGCGCTGCACCGTTTCCCCACACCTGAGCCTCCGTGCCCCATTCCACGCCCCGAAGAAGCCGCACCCGAGAGTGTCCTCCTGGCACTCGTCACAATCAGTCATTTTACACTTGATTGGCGTCTCTAAACTCCCCGAGGGCAAGGCCTAGTCTGTCTTGTCGCACTGTATTCAGTAGGCGCTCAAGACTGCATCCATTCGTTCGCTCTGCAAATACTTGTCTATATTTAGTGCACCGGTACAGTGCTGAACATCGTTGCGCTGTGGATCATCCGTTCTAGCGGAGAGAGAGACAGAAAATAAAGTTAAAAATATAGAAAGTTAAGTGGTGATATGTAAGTAATGAATGCTGTAGAGAAAAACCAGGAAGGGGAATAAATGAAGTCGGTTTGTTTCACTAGCCTCTGGTCGACCCCAAATGCTAACATTTTCTGTCTTTGAGAAATTTTTTATTGAACACAGCGTTTAATAACAGAGAATATCAAGATCTGGGATTTCCTGTTTTTAAGGAGCTCCTTATCTAATACCTTAGAAGACACCAACATAAAGAAGCCATTACGGGCCGGGCGCGGTGCCTGACACCTGTAATCCTAGCACTCTGGGAGGCCGAGGCGGGTGGATTGTTTGAGCTCAGGAGTTCGAGACCAGCCTTAGCAAGAGCGAGACCCCGTCTCTACTAAAAATAGAAAGAAATTATCTGAACAACTAAAAATATATAGAAAAAATTAGCCGGGCATGGTGGCGCGTGCCTGTAGTCCCAGCTACCTGGGAGGCTGAGGCAGGAGGATCGCTTGAGCCCAGGAGTGTGAGGTTGCTGTGAGCTAGGCTGACGCCACGGCACTCACTCTAGCCCGGGCAAAAGAGTGAGACTCTGTCTCAAAAAAAAAAAAAAGCCATTACGATAGGTTGTGACAAGCGTTATGATGGGCGGGTGGAGAGTGTTTGCTAAAATGATTAGTCCGTAAGAGTGATGACAGTTTGGGCGGGGTGGGCTAGTGTCAGAAAAGTCCTGAAAATTTTCACAAGTGGAAGAGTAGGTAAGTTACTCGATGGAAAGGAAGGTCAGAATATTCTAGGCCCAAAGAGGTAAAATGTGTCATTTTGAGAAGACCGTCAAGTAGAGCTTAGGGTTCATACAAAAATTTAGAGGACAATGAGGTTGGAGAGAGAAGTGACATGATCCAGGCCTCGTGTGCTATGCTAAGGATTTCATAAGTTTCCAGAAGGGTTTCAAGAGTTTTAAGCAAGAAGGACATAATCAGTTACATTTTTAATCTGTCCCCTCAGCTGCCAGTGTTGGGTGAAAGGGTGAGTGAATGGTTTCACAAGGAAACTCCCATGACAGAGCAGGAGGCACTGAAACCCCATTTGAGAGAGTTGAATCCTCAAAGCTGGATTTTCCGTCTTTCTTTCATACGTGATATATTCTTACTATCTTTTAAAATATTCGTCATGTGGGCATGGTGGCTTATGCCTGTAATCCTAGCACTTTGGAGGATCCCTTGAGACCAGGAGTTTGAGACCAGCCTGGGCAATATATGGATACACCCAGCCTACCCCCTACAAAAAATACAAAAATTGGCCAGGCATGGTGACACAGGCCTGTAGTCCTATCTGCTTGGAATGCTGAACCAGGAGATTGCTTGAGCCCAGGAGTTTGAGGTTGCATTGAGCTGTGATTGTACCCCTACACTCTAGCCCCAGCAATGGAGCAAGACCCTATCTCAAAATAAAATAAAATATTCTTCAGAAAATGAAAACTTAAATTATCCTTCCTATAACATAACTTTTATGACCAATTATCCTAAAATGCAGTATTATGTTTTTAGAGAAGAAGCACTTGGAGAAACTGCCCAAGTTTACTGGAAAACTGACAGTAATGCCATTTATCAAGTTGATGGAAGTAAATCCTTCAATTTTGGTAAGATATAATACTATCAAAAATTAGCTTGTTATTGTTTTGGTATTAAGAGTACAGAAAGCTTATCAATAATCCTGGATTTATTACTAAAGATTAGACTAAGCCTTTTGTAAACTGCTTCATTGGAAACAAAAAATTGTTTAGCCATCATGTCTGGTAAGTGAGATAATAAATTGATATTTAAAGCACAGTTATATAATTTGCATGCAGACAGATTCCAGACCCCCATGTGCAACCACTATGGCCTACTGCCTTGTAAAAACACATAGGATCATTAACTTGTAGTATATTTTTTGTCTTTGAGGACCAAAACATCTTACCTCAAGGAGAGGTTTTTTTCAAAGGACCAAAAAGTTGAAGAAAATACTTTCTTAAATATTTTATCATCCTAGATTGACAATTTTATTTCTTTGGGTAATTAATTACTAGTTCAGAATGAAAACACATTTGATTTGTTTGGTTTAACTTCAAATGTGTTGTTGTTTTGTAGATCGTGTCTTTCCTAGTAATGAAACTACTAAAAATATGTATGAAGAACTAGCAGCACCAATCATCGATTCTGCCATACAAGGCTACAATGGTTTGTATTCGCTCAGCGTTGCAGAAACATTTTAGTCTTGGGTGTCTGTGCAACAGGTATTGATAGTTTTACCCACTGCAGATTCATTTTTAATCTTTGTGTGTATATTTTGTTTGTTCAGGAACCAAATTGCCCCACGACAAAAGGCCTCAAGCAAAAACGAGAATGAGAAGGAGTCCGAAAAATAACTGGGAAGTAAAACCAAGGCCAATCATGACATTTTCCAAAAAATTAAGAAGGGAAATAACTTAGCTGAATTTCTAGTATATACTGATAAAAGTAGCAACAATCTTAGTGTTTTTCTCGTATAATAATAAAAGGAAGTAAATTTACAGTTATCTCTTGATTATCCATGGGGAAAGAAGAAAAGCATAGCATAGATCTACTTTTATCCCCACAAACTTACTGTTTAAAGCTTAAAGTTCTTTCATTCTTTCCCTGGAATCCTGCAACAGTAATACTTTCAACAAAAAGTAGTCATTAAGGAACAGGAAAATCTTATCAGAATGGTTTGCTCCTCATTGCCTTTGTTTAACTACTAGTGATTATTATAAAGGAGTAGTAAAAAGTGGGTGTAGGTAAAGGAGAAGGGAAGTAGAAGGCCAGAGCAGGCAACCTAATTAGTTAAGAGTTGGTTTTAAATTAGCATTTTCATTAAAATAAGAACATCTAATGGTAGAGTTTTATTTTGAGCCTGGAGAGTTGGAATGAGTGCTCTCCTCTTCTAATTTTATAATACGTTACTTTTCATTATTTCCGAAACAATGCTTTTATATTTTTGTGTTTGTTATTGTCAACATAGAATCATGGGTTTTGTTTTATAAACATAGGTTCCTTCTTTACCTCTTTAATATAAGTACATAAGCATACAATACTAGGTTTTCATAACTGGATGCTCACTGATGTTTTTACATATTTTTTCTTCCAGTTTCCTGATAGAGAGTTTCTCTTGCGTGTGTCTTATATGGAGATATACAATGAAACCATTACAGATTTACTCTGTGGCACTCAAAAAATGAAACCTTTAATAATTCGAGAAGATGTCAATGTGAGTAACAGACATTATAATCAACTTACTGGGATTATTGCTCTTGAATATTTACCTTTAATTTTTTTAAAGTGTTGTTTCTGTGGTTTTCTTAATTTCTTTTTTGAAGTGCTTATAGAGCTTCATTTTTTTAAATAATATGTATAGTTTTAAAATACTGATAGCTATAATATTTTGGTTTAAGTGCCTAAAAATAGCAACATGGAAGTATCAAGTTAGAATTTAGTGTGCTTTGGTATAGGAAACAAATTGTATTCTTGGAGTTGCTTGTTATATTATTATAGAATAATGATTCCATTTTCCACCTTTAACTTCCACAAATGAACTCTGTAATAGTTTGTACCTTCTTTTTGAAAAACAGACTTTTAAGTGACTTCTATTTCTTTAATCTTTCCACAATTAAACTTGTTTCAGAGGAATGTGTATGTTGCTGATCTCACAGAAGATGTGGTTTATCCATCAGAAATGGCTTTGAAATGGATCACAAAGGGAGAAAGTAAGACGTTCTGCTGTATTTCTTTAAAACCCTTATAAAAACTATTTTTTCAATCAAGTGTGTTTAGGCTTCAAATCATACTGTATTAAGTTAAAATAAAAATTACTATTTTTTGTTGGATTTTAATACATATGCATCTGAAATATAACTCATTTTTACAGAGAACAGACATTATGGAAAAACAGAAATGAACCAGAGAAGCAGTCGTTCTCATACAATTTTTAGGATGGTAGGTAATATTCTCTCTGTCTGTCTCTCTTTTTTACAACATCTGATGGTAGGGTTTTATTTTGAGCCTAGAGAGTTGGACTGGATGCACTCCTTTCCTATTTTATGATACTTTATTTTTCATTATTCCACATAAGAATGCACTAATTTTTATACAAGTTGCCTTTTCTATCTAGATTTTGGAAAGCAGAGAGAAAGGTGAGCCTTCTAACTGGGAAGGGTCTGTGAAGGTGTCCCATTTGGTGAGTGTAAATGACCCATGATAATGTACTGTATGGGCCAAAACAAAAGTTAATTTAGCTGCTGGTCTTAAACTCCTGTCCTATCCTCCCATCTCAGCCTCCCAAAGTGCTAGGATTACAGATGTGATCCACTGTGCTTGGTCTCTGTCTTTCAACACATTCAGGAAACTTAATAAACCTTTTTCATGTTCTGAGCATGCTGCTGGGCTCTAAGGTTAAAAGAATAAACAAGACATCCCTCCGCTAACTCGCAGGTAGTCTCCCTAGCCCAAACCGCTGTCACCTCTCACTTGGAACCCTGCACCAGCCTCCTGATGAGGCTGCCCTTCTTCAATCCATCCTCCACCCAGGGGCCACAGTGGATCCTTTAGGAAGTTGAATCAGGTTGTATTACTCCCTTGTGTAAAGCCCTCCAGTGGCTTCCCAGTGCATTTAGAAAATTCAGACTTCTTAAGCTTGCTCACCAAGTCCTGCATAATCTGACACCTACCTACTTCTCTTACCCTATTTTCTCTTGTCTTCACTTCACCAACTGTCCCACACTGCCCTTTCTTTGTTTTTGAACACACCAGGCACATTCCGCTTTGTGACCAGGTATGCTGGCTGTTCTCTCTGACTAGGCTACAGTTTCCCTTGATCTTTTCGTAACTGGCCCCATCCTCTCTGTCACTTTGATCTTAGCTTAATACCAGGCCTGTCCCTGCCACCCATTCCAGCGACTCTACTCAATCCCTCCCTCTGTCCTCTTCCAACTCTATATTATCTCTGTTACACTTATCACAATGTTTCTTATTTGTCTTTTTTTTCTCTTCTCATCAGCAGTCTTTATGTAGAATATAAGCTCCGTGACAGCAGAGACCTTATTTGTTTGGTTCATTGCTGTATCCCCAGCACCTAACGCACCATCTGGAGCATGATAAGCAGTCACTTTTTTCAGTAATGTTTGTGAAATGAAAGAGAGGTTCATGCTTTTAAAGATGCTACAGTGTAGTTAGGGACACAAATGACTAGCCCAATAGAATAAGCGCTCTAAGAATAAGTCTAATCTATAAATAAGTCTGTAAATATTTATTAAGAGTTCTGGATATGCAGTTGAAGGAGCAGTTCATTCAAGATGTAGGGGAAGAAGGATAAAGTTTGCAAAGCTATCTTGAGAAGGTAACGTTTGCCCTGGTTCTTGAATGAAGAATAAGGGCAGACTAGAACATTGGAACTAACTGAACAAAGGCAATAGCAAAAAGCAGCTGCTTGGAAGTACAGAAATATGGTGGGTGTTTGGAGGATAGTGAGTAGTTCGGCTAGAGAGGTAAGAGTAAGGGATGGATAGATA